CATCAACAATATGAAATGCAAAAACAACTTTCACGTTTCACATGAAAGAGACAATGGACATTCAAATATCTTAGAGTATACTGTTCTTCAAACAGAAACAACATTCAGTTTTGCCCTGAAATCATACCACTATAAACCAATGATTCTAACAATCAGCAGACTTATTCCCAATACTCAGGAGAGTTTGGAAGAGTTTTTCTATGAAATAGATGAAGTCTCCTGCTTGTCCAGATGAAATAAAATCGATATAGTTTTTCAGTCACGTTCTGTCCACTCTCTTCAAGAGCTAATAGCTGTGATGTTGTACAAACTCTACTGATTTCACCTTTCCAGAAATAAAATTAAAACAAAAAACAAAATAAACTCCTTTAATTCCAGAACAAACAAATGAACGCGTGGAAGCTGTAACACAAAAACATCACTGTGGCAGCTTTGCATACTGGTAATTTGCAAGTTTCCTCCCCTTTGGGTATAGCTTGCTTCTCGTTACACATGAGAGCTTCACCTGAGTGAAGGTCTGTTGCAGAGCTATCTGGGAAACCTCCACACTGCCATCCAAGCTGTGACAGTACCATGCAGAGAAATACCCAAACCAGCATTCATCAAGCTGGCTTTGGTCCTGATAACTAGAGAACCACTGTGGTGTGGAGATCAACCTCTGGTCGTGTACAGCCACCGGCAGACTATGAGGGTGAAGAGCAAAACCTGCACTGCTGCTACCAGTACCTTTGCTGACAGGAGAATTGCAGCCTTTAAAATGTCTGCACGTGCTGCACCCGCACTTCTCAATTGCAGGGTAGGCAGGACCTTGACCTACCTGGGAAAACTAGGCTTTTATATAAGAACAGAGAAATAAGGCAGAATAGTTGAATTACTAAATGAGAACCTGATTTTTTCCAGTAAAATAATATACAGTCCAATTACTGTATAAAAGTAGGTTATTAATTCTATTGTTTCAAAGCCTTAATTCTAAAATTCCACTTCGGCATATAGCCCTAATGAGTTCTATATATACTATATAGCCAAATAATACATTCCCTAAAATAGAAGAAACATTAAAAAAAAAAAATCTAATGCAAGTCATGGAAATACATGATAATGATTTCTTTAAATACTTCTCCAGGGTATAGAAGGTATCATTGTCTCCTCAATCCACATTACAGCTCCACCAGAATGTTGATTACTACTGAAACGCCAATTCTTACCTCTGCACCTGGATTAGAACTCTTAAAATAGAAAATCTAATATTTGATGAGTCAGGGTAATTTTCAGTAATGTAAATCCCCTCTTTTGTGCAATCAACCTTCTACCTAGGCTGGGGTTTAAACTGTGTAAGGTAACAAACTTTCCCGATTCTGTGACACCAAATATAGTTTAAATTTCTCTTTCATATCCAGGATGAAATATGAAATGAAGAAACCACTTACTATTTCTAACTTCAAAACGGTTTCTGAAAAGTCTTTGTGGTCTCTTAGTATGTTTCTGTTGAAATACCTCCTCATCCTCTAGTGAGGTCCTAGCATAATGCCCAGTTGCAATTGCATCAGCTCCTATCAAGAAAAAAACACACAACAAAGCCACATACTTGAAATTCACAGTTTTAAACAGAATTATAAACATCCAGTAAGAAAAGCAGAGAGCAATGAATGAAGAAAACCTACACACAGAATTGTTACACTGACAATAATTATACTCCTGCTATTTAAATAGTGTAAACTACTCATCAGCATGCCAGCACTTGTGCTTCTGTACTGTAAGGACCACCTAAGAATGTAAAACTTCAAGCTTAGGTCAATGTACGTCCATGAATTACATCTGTTCCTACATATGAACAACCTAATCTAGTGGAAGATATCCCTGCCCACGGCAAGGGGGTTGGACTAGATGACCTTTAAGGGTCCTTTCCAACCTGAACCAATTGATGATCCTGTATGTAAAGCAAAACTAAAACCAAATACTTTTCAAACACTGAAATGCTGCTATAGAGATGCATGAATTAGGCATGCACATGAACTCATGTTTTTCCCCACCTTCTCAAGAGTTCGTATCCTTTAAGCATTTCCACGGCGCATGCTCTGTACTGACACACTTGAAAATGCCTTACCAAGGTTATCCATAGCATAGTGAAGAAAGTAGTTGAATTTGATGTGCTTGTTACACACAATATCGGGGTTAGGAGTTCTTCCCAATTCATACTCTTTTAAGAGGTCACTGTAAAATAAAGATTCAAAGGTGTATCAACATTATCAACATCAACACTGCATAATGCTGTCTGAGACTGAATGATCTGTTTAAACATAAGAACTTGAGACTCCATCAGACTAAGCATTTTACGTAAGAAATAAAATATCCATTAGATTTTAACCTGTTGTCACGGTTTAGGCTGGATTGGCCAATGACTCATACCCTCCCTCACCTCTCGCTCCGAGGAGAGGAGAGACACAAAGAGATTTACCAGTTTAGAGGGAAATAAACCACTTTAATGAAATATTAATGATAAAATAAAAAGAACATAATGACATAGATACAGTATATACAAAACTGTACCAAGCTCCCAGGATGATGTCACCAGCAGGCACTGGGGAAGAACCAGACTGGACTCAGCGATGGAAGGGAACTAGATTCTAGGTGTGGATTCAGGAATGCATGGATTGGGATCAAAGGCAGACAAACAGACAGGGTCCTTCTCAGACATCGAGACATTGAAGAAAGAGGCTGACCCTTTGATCCCTCAGCTTTTATACAGAGTGTGATGCAGGTGGGATGGAATACCCTGTTGGTCAGTTCTGGGTCACCTGTCCTGTCTGCTTCTCCCTGCAGGTGGGACTCTTCTATGCTCTTCCACTTCCAACCCTCCAATGGGGCAAATAATGAAACTAGTTGACCTTAGGTGTTATAGCAATACGTATAAGCAAGAGACTCTCTGCATACCCTGCCCTGGCATTAACTATAAACATTGGCCTTATCACCCTGAGAATTAACAGTTTTCTCCACAATATGCTGTTAATTTCAGAGACTTAAAAGAGACCTAGCTAAGAAATAAAATTACTGAACAAAAAGTTGTTTTACCTTAATAGGACACCTGTTGAAAACAGCACTTGGAAGATTTTCTCCCAGTGCACTGAGGACATGGTCAAATGATCACTCACGATCTTGTAACCGTGTTTTATTAAATTAATATTCCCTCAGGGGAGATATGGCTACCCACTGTGTACATCCTACTCTTATCTTACAAAATATTCAACAACCGTGTTTAACTTTTCAAAGAGATGGTGCAGTGGAGTACACACCACGAGTTACAGTATCTCAGCTGAATGGACAATAACTTAATGTGCAATAACTCCACCATAAGCAGTCATGAGCTTAATTTTACAGAGATTTTTCCTTTTTTATTTTTTCCGTTCAAGATATTCAAGCAGTTTCTCAAGGTCACATTGCAGTTTTACCCTGTCACATAATTAAAGCACTTAGCATCATTTGCTTGAAAACACTGAAATAATAACTAACGAAATCAAACCAACATACAGTGATGCACTGAGATATCAAAACATCTGATCACTGCATTATTTTGCTTGTCCTCAGGAGCCACTGAAGTCAAGAGGAACTGAAGCATAGACTGGATTTTAAACACCAACAACAACCATAGTATTTGGGTTTACTTTTAATCACCTGAACAAGAATCAATTGCTTCTTCTTTACCTTGTTATACATTACACACATTAGACTAGCATGACTAGGTTATCCCTCAGTTTCTTCTAGGACAAATTAACAACAGCACTACTTAAAGGGGGGTGACAAAGATCAGGGAACAAATCTTATGCACTTCTGTTGAGCACATAGAACATAAATAATGTTGTTATTACAAATACTTCCCTTCTTTTCCTGCCTCCCAAGAAAAACTCTCACCTTTTCTTATTTAAAACTTTCTCCCCTTAAAGTGCAACAAATTCAGAGAAAATCTGAACACCCTCTTCAGAGAAGAGTTTCAAATTTGTTGTAAGTTTAAAAAAGCAAGGCCAGTTCAAACACAGACTATAATTACACACTAAAATTACACACACAGACTATAATGGCAACCCATTAAATATTTTTTCTCAAGTTGCAATAAGGTTGGGTCAGTCTGTGGGAAACAGAAGAAATAAGCCACAACACAGCAATTGCTACATGCACATAATCATGAGGGAGAAATCTCCTATCAATTTCAAAAATAACAAATGTATTAAAACCAACATATAAATTCTGATCTTAAATATGAATGAGAGAAAAAATAATCCCTTCAATATTTAGGAGCCTTTAGTACTTTCTCTTAACACTTATAATACTGCAATAAACTGCCGTTACCCATTATGTGCCCATCTTTACTCTTCACAATAATTGAAAGACCATATATTTTAAACATGTTTCTACCTGAACACTTCATTCCAGTATTCCTTCACGTAGGAAACTTGGTGAAAAGGAATATCAAGCTTCTGACAAACCCGGTAAGCATCTTCACAATCTCTGTCAATGGAGCAAGCCCCTTGCTCATCCAGAGGGTCCCAGTTCTTCATAAAGACACCCGTCACCTGGTAACCTAAGAAACGAAGGCCAGAGCGACTTAAAAAGCGAAATTCCCACGGCCTCGACCTAAAAACTGTGTTTTTCAAGACCTGCAAGGGTAACTGAATATTTCAGAAGATGTGAGCCATCCCGCGCTGAGCAAACATCCTCTGAAGTTCTATAGCACAGTTGTGTGATTTATTTATTTTCTATAGCTAAGAGCTCACACAAAAACGAGCTCTTCCGGCAGCCTAACAGGGCTCCTCCTTCACCCCTCGCTGCCCGCCGCCCCCCGAGGCGCCGGCCCTCCCACAGGCCCTGCCCCAGGGGAGGCCGAGAGCAGCCGCGCAGCCCCCCGCGGCGGCGCAATGCCCGGCCCCGCCGCCCTCACCCACCTCGGCGGCGCAGCAGCAGGGCGGCCACGGCGCTGTCCACCCCGCCGGAG